CCCCGAAAAAAAGGGAAAAAGTGGTCTCAGCAGTAATAGTATGTCTTTGATCGACATATTTTGTTAATATAATAAGTTCCTCACAAAAAAGACGATACTGTGGTTTTATTCTGATATGCAGAGTCGAAACAGGCCGGCTCCTAAGTCATTGAAAAACTTTTACGATCAAATTATCAACAAATCAAAGAGTAAGCAAATTAAAAAAAACACAAGAAGGAAAACCACGTAACCCAGCCTTGCTCTGCGGATATTTACAGTATACATGTATTTATTTTAATGAATTCACTGATCGATTTTTATGTTAGTTCTTGCCACTGCAAGTAACACATCAGTAACGAACGAATGTGTAGTCTGTAAGGAGATTGCTGTTCTGCTTTAATCGGACACGACAGTTATTTTGACCATGGTACAAATAAATCGTTGTTTCATCGCGACGGACCAAATCCAAGAAGCTCGACAATTGTAAAAGTGTCTAAGCGGGTGGTTGGAGGGCACCGCTTGCCGGTCCTAATTTATTTATTTCCTTCTGCTGTTTCTGTCTGTCAGTCTTACTTTTTACAAATCACTTACTGACTGTTGTTGTTTGGATGTGCTTCTTTTTACTCGAGCAAACAAGCAAACAAACAAGTGTCTAAATTGTTTGAAATCAATCGAAGGACAACTTTCTAGCTCAATGATACTTGTTGTAAATACTTTTTTTTCCTGGCGTGCACACATGCATGAATTAGTTCGGTTCCGAGTACTTTGACCTGACAGTACAAATTGTATTCAGTTAAACTTGTACATGTACCTGTGTTTGGTTTAGTCAGCTTCATCATTACTTGAGTGAAATTAATTACTTATGACATCATCTTTTCCTGTGAGGGCGTTCCGTTAGCTCAGGTGATGTCATGCTGGACTATAGAGCGTATGACACTAGTTCGAATCCCAGACTGGGTGTTCTTTAAATTGGGTCGTTTTGTGGAGTTTTTATGGCTTTTGACCCATTTTCTCGGTCCTATCGGAGACGGACATTATATTCGGAGGACCCGCTTCTTAAATGACCAAATAGTGTTGGCAAGGGCGTTAAACCCATACACTTACTTTTTAGTCAGTTACATAATTACTTGTGTTAAATTATTAAATAATCACGTCATCTTTTCCTATGATGGAGTATGTCTGGAGGAAGTAAGTGTATGTGGCTGTATATTTTTGTAGGCACTACCTATTCTTTCTTTTTAAAAAAATTGTATGTTACTGTCCAGTAGCGCCTCTAATCCTCGGCACTTATATGACCTATTTGTATTTCAAGTGCCATAAAACTTTTACTTAAACTAAACAAAGAAGGAGGCTCAGATTGCCGGCGTCTGGGGTGGTATTATTTTGTGGGGATCTTTGCTGTTGTAGGTAGAAGACGTGAGTTCGGTTCCCACGCAGGGATGTCTATTCCCCGGGTGTCTCCGTTATTCTGATGGGGTTCAGTGTCCCTCTCCGTCCGTGTTGGCCCGTGGGGTCGAAGCAGTCTACTTCTCAAGCGATATTTGGCTGGCTCGGCGGCATGATTCATTTCAAGTTGCTGTAGAAGATATATTATATTGATGTGGGTTAGATATCCAGAACTGTTAATTATTGCTGGACTAGCTAAGGTGTTTTGTGCCTTTGTAAGTGCGTTTTATGTGAGGTACTGTGTGTCTTTATGTATAAGTGTCTGTGTGTGTATATCTGTCCAGTGTGTGTGTGTGTGTGTGTGTGTGTGTGTGTGTGTGTGT